AGGTTTTGGCCAAAAGAGCCTGATTAAATAACTCTAAATCCCGAAAGCCAAGACCGCCGTCCCATTTGTTTCGACACAACTCTGCCCATTTACACCAGTGCAGCCCCTTATTTCCTCCTCCTTTCCCCCACCAATAGCTTGTTATCTTTGATTGAAAAGACTTATGAATTCCTTTGGAAAGCCGGAAGACACTCATTGTGTACGTAGGTATTGCCTGGGCAACTGCTTTAATTAGGGTCATCTTTCCTACTTTGGACAAGAATTTGCTCTGCCACCCTACCAAATGATGATCCAGTCTCTCATTCAATCTCTTGAACATCTCTTTTTTATTCTTACCCGTCATAGTAGGCAAACCCAAGTATCTCTCGTGAAATGGAACTACTTCAACCCCCAATAACTGCTTCAATTCCTCCTTCTTCTCCTGTCTCACCCCTGGACCAAAAGCCACAGCTGACTTGTCAAAATTAATTTTCTGTCCAGCCGCAGCTTCGTACAAAAGAAGAACCCGAAAGCCAAGACCGCCGTCCCATTTGTTTCGACACAACTCTGCCCATTTACACCAGTGCAGCCCCTTCTTTCCTCCTCCTTTCCCCTACCAATAGCTTGTTATCTTTGATTGAAAAGACTTATGAATTCCTTTGGAAAGCCGGAAGACACTCATTGTGTACGTAGGTATTGCCTGGGCAACTGCTTTAATTAGGGTCATCTTTCCTACTTTGGACAAGAATTTGCTCTGCCACCCTACCAAATGATGATCCAGTCTCTCATTCAATCTCTTGAACATCTCTTTTTTATTCTTACCCGTCATAGTAGGCAAACCCAAGTATCTCTCGTGAAATGGAACTACTTCAACCCCCAGTAACTGTTTCAATTCCTCCTCCTTCTCCTGTCTCACCCCTAGACCAAAAGCCACAGCTGACTTGTCAAAATTAATTTTCTGTCCAGCCGCAGCTTCGTACAAAAGAAGAATCTGTTTTAGGTTGACAACTTCTTGAGTTTCTGCCCGCACAAAAATGAGGCTATCATCTGCAAACAGAAGATGGGAAATTGAAGGTGCGCTCCTACTGGCTTGCACTCCATGGATGAATCCCAGCATATCGGCATGGAAAAATAAACTCGAAAGTCCCTCAGAGCACAGCAAAAAGAGGTACGGTGACAAAGGATCACCTTGTCTCAACCCTCTTGATGGTTTGAAAAGACCAGTAGGCTCTCCTTCCCAAAGAACTGAGAAGGACGTTGTAGTCACACACCTCAAAATAAGCTGAATCCACCTATCAGCAAAACCCAGCTTCTCCATCATCTTATGCGAAAAGACCCACTCAACTCTGTCATAAGCTTTACTAATATCCAGTTTGAGAACTAACTGAGCATCCCCGTTGGCTCCTTTTCTACGAATTGAATGCACCGTTTCGAAGGCTGCAATCACATTGTCGTGGATGTGACGCCCAGGGACAAAAGCACTCTGAGACGGGGAAATAACTACATCAAGGACAGTCTTCATCCTGTTCACCACAGCTTTAGAGATTAATTTGTATACCACTGTACATAAGCTGATAGGCCGAAAGTCTGTTGTTCGTTGTGGCTCAGCAATCTTTGGGATAAGATAAGAGCAATGAGCCAATGAGGGTATGATTGGCCTCGCCCAGATCCTTTCCATCATTTAACACCCCTAAGCAAAACTCACTGACATCCTCACCAATCGCATCCCAGTACTGTTTAAAGAAGAGAGCCGGAAGTCCATCATGCCCAGGTGATTTTTGAGCAGGCATTTGCTTGAGAGCTGCTTCAATCTCCGCTCGGTCGAACGGCCTGAGAAGCATCTGGTTCACTTGATCATTCACCTTACGATGAACTTTATCCAAAATAACATGATGATGATCACTGCCTTCAGTCGAAAATAAATGCTCAAAATAGTCCACAAACAGCCCTTGCAGCTCATGCTTGTCCGAAACCCATTCCCCATTTGAATTGTGCAACCCCTGAATCCGATTGCGACTTCCCCTATTCTTCGCGAAATTGTGGAAAAATTTTGTGTTGCTATCTCCTTCCTTTAGCCAACACGCTCTCGATCGTTGCCTCCATAACTCCTCTTCATGCCTCTCTAATCTATCCAATTCTATAGTGACCTGCTTCCTCTGTTTTTGGACTGATTCATTCGTATCATCAAAAGGCAAATCCACCGGTTGTTCCCTGAGCTTCTTAATTCTTCTTGGCACACTACCAATCTGCCTTTTACTCCATCCATCCAGCGCCTCCAAACAACCAGTAAGTTTCCTACCAATATCTCCTACATCACACGCACCCTGTCTCGCCCAAACCTCCTCTACAATTTTCCGACAACCCTCCTCTTTAATCCAAAAGCTCTCAAACATCCTTCTTTCAAACTGGGCCCTGCATTCAAACTGGGCCCCATGCATAAAGTTCCTTCTTTCCCACCCTTATCAATTAACATCGGTTCTTCCTCCTTCATAAATGCTTTTCCTTTTGACTGCCCAGCTTCACTCCTTTTTTCGTCTCAGCAGACATGAAATCCCCCCGAGGTTGCGAAATTGTCAAATACGTACGGCGTCGCCATTAAATGCTCCTCGATCCTCTCTACTAAATCCCCATTTTAGAGAATCTTGCGTGATTACTTCTGAGATTGGATCTTGACTTGGCTGCTCACCTTTTTTTCGCCCTCATTGATATCTCCACCAGCATTTAATTCTGTTGACTTAGGGGCTGTTCGTTTGGCAAAAAAAACCTGGAAATCAAAAAATAGGAAACCTATTTCCTATTATAATGGTTTTGAAGTTGTTTGGTTGGCTTAAAAAAGAAGGAAATTATAGAATAGGAGATGAGATGAGATGAGTTGTCACCTTATTATTGGATGATGTGAGTGATTTTTAAAAAAACTTGTTTTGAGGTTGTTTGGTTGGTTAAAAAAATAAGGAAATGAATTGGAGGTATATTATTGGATGATGTTTTGAGGTTGTTTGTGTTTGGTTCGTTTTTAAAAATAAGAAAATAGATGAGATGAGATGAGTTGGAGGTATATTATTGGATGATGTGACACGTACTTAAGGAAATTGATTTCTTGTTATTTTTTGAGGAAATGGATGGAAATGAATGTTTAATGAGAAGAGATGAGTTGTCACAATATTATTGGATGATGTGTGTGATTTTTAAAAATGAGATAAAATGAGATGTGATGAGTTGGATGATGTGACACATTTCTTGTGTTTGGTTTATTTTTAAAGGTAAGAAAGGAGATGAAATGAGATGAGTTGGAGGATAAAAATAATATTTTATTAGATGTTGTGGTGAGTTTTAGGGATGGAAATGGATAAAAATATTATTTTATTGATTTCCTTGTACCGATTTCCTTTTCTTGGTTTTTAGGAAACCAACCAAACAGCCCCTTACTGGCTTGGATATCCAACTGTACCGTGAACGGCTGCTCCGGCACCACCATCTCACGGCGGCGCTTCGCCGATCGCCCCACCTCCTCCTCTGATTTAGAGGCCCAGTCTAGAGAATCTCTACTACGGACCACCCCACCGCTCTCCAACTCCGGGGCCGAGCATTGCCAACTCCCCAGACCAAACGAAGTACCATGAAGCTCTCCATCTGGTCTAATATTTACCACATCTCTCTCAGAACCGTTCTCCATCGGCCATAACCTACCTCCAGACTTGGATCTGACAATTTAGCAGGGCAAGTGGCAGTTTTGTGATCAACTCTGCCGCAATAAAAGCAGAAGTTGGCATAACTTCAACTAAATTGAACAAACTTAAAACGATTAAAATAAACTGATTCATGACAGCGTCTAAAGATAACATCATGACAATTCATTTAGACTTCACATTCAATTTAATTTTATTCTTAAAATTCTATCTAGAAGAGGATTTGAATGATCTATTTATAATAGGAATAGGTTTGGAGAATGAGAGCCCTGAAATTAATTTTTGTTCTACAGTAACAATGAACAGTAAACCGAGAAAAGAAAAGAGGGGGGAGAGAGAGAGAAAGTGAGATTCCGGATAATTTGGTTGTTCGATTGCAGTGAATCAAAAGCCGTTGTCTTCAGAATGACGACATCGTCGAGGGTACGGTGTTGGTTTCTCCGCGGGTGTTGGAGATTTTTGGTGAGACGGGTTTTAGGGTTTTGATGCCCTAGAGATAACACTGTATATTTCTCTTGTGATTTAATCCTCAAGTTCATGTGTAACTTGGAGGGGTTGTACTCTTAATTCATAGTGAAATATTTCTCTCTGGATTGCCCCGTGGACGTAGGCATAATTTTCCGAATCACGTTAAATCTTGGTGTTTACTTGCTTGTGGTATTTTCATTGGTGTCGTTATTCGTTTAGTGTTTAATTCCGCAGGTTAATCTTCATAAAAACCCTAACACTATCCTGTTGCGAGCCACGAGTTGCCTAGCCCTGCCACTAAGCCTGCACGGGGCGGCCAATGTGAGACAACCACGACCCACCCCATCTAAGACTATGGCCACTCAAAACTTCCAAATGGGGTGGAATCTCCCCCTACCCTCCGTTCATCTCCATCCAAAGAGGATGTAACAGCAACAAACAACTTCGTCGCTAGAACCAAAATTGTTGAACTCGACTGGACCATACTAAAAGATGCCAAAACAATTTTTTCTCTCGCTTTGACGGGGGAACTTCCCCACGATCATTCGGCACAGCCTCGTTTATTCTAGGAAATTAAATTCTTATGGGTAATTTTTAGGAGTTGAGCCTAAAACCATAGAGTACTACTCATCAGCTTATCAATTCGGCTAGACTCTTCTAGTTCTGACACCCAACTTTCATGCACGTGAGATAATGTTTTCAAGGATTCGGAATCGGACCCAGACATCCACTACATCCAAAAGCCACGTCCACAACCGGACGCACGTACTGGGTAGCCAATTTCAACTCGAAGAGGGCGGTTGACGTTAGCGATGACGGGATGCGTATAAATCCTATGCCGTCATCAACTTCCTCATTCCTTTGTCCCTTTACTATTCTTATAAGTCAGTCTCTGTGATTCATTGCATTCAGCGTCGATTCATAAATAGATAAGTGTAGTAGTTGCTGTCATATATATGTGTACAATGCTTCTGCAGCTAACAACTCTATTTTCCTCTATTTTATTATGTTTGTGATCTAGTCAACCTACTCTGATTGGATCCTGGGCTTATATATTGCAGGTTCGTGAGATCAAGGGCTTCAGTCTTTTCAGTTTTTATTTTTTATTTTTTAAAGGAACCCCACTTTCTGGTTATTGGGTTCTTCATAAATTTCATAACTGTCTATGAGTTTTATCGGAAATGAAGGATTGGGCTTTCACCAGTAAGCAAAACCCTGTTTTTATTTTCACCCATTTTCTACTTAAATTTGTCGATTATGTGTGGTTCAGTCGAACTCATTTGTTTCTATGATGATACTAACAATTGGGTTTTTTTTTTTTTTGAATTTTTTGCGTCTGTGAATTTAGTAGGTGCTCAAATGGCGTTCTGTGGCGAGTTCAGCGTCATCAAAGTCGTCTATGCTTCCGCTTGTGTGAACCACCTAATAGTCATCTCCACTGACGCCCTGCTCTCTGCCGTACTGCTGTTCAGTATCATCCGCAGCCGAATTTCGTCGAGTTTCAAGCTCTCGTCGATCTTACAGACATTATCTTTAGCATTCAATGGCTGTTTGGGCCTGGTTTATCTCGGACTCGGGTTGTGGATTTTGCTGGGAAGGCTTACCAAGGGGATGGGTTTTAGCCCCGCACGTTTGTGGTTAGTTTTGCTAACCCAAGGGCTCACTTGGAGTCTTGTCGGTTGGGTGGCGAGTGCGAGAGGCAGTCTTAAGGCTTTATCTTTGATTGTTACGGGCTTCGCCGGATTTCTCTGTGTTTCTTCGGTCTTAGAGATTATCTCACAGAACAGCATGTCGGTCAAGCTTTTCTTGGATATTTGCTCTTTACCAGGAGCTAGCCTTTTGCTTCTTTGCTCTTTTAAACAATCCAAAGAAGCCGAGGATCATAGGAACGCTAACGATCCCTTGCGCAGGCCTTTGAATGTCGCGGTTGATTCAGTTGATTTAGTGACCCCCTTTGCCAAGGCTGGATTTTTCAGTAGAATGTCGTTCTGGTGGCTGAATCCTCTGATGAAAACGGGCTACGAGAAGCCCTTAGAGGAAAATGACATCCCCCTACTGAGCGACGAAGATCGAGCAGAGAGTCGTTATCTGTTGTTTTTAGAGAGATTAAGTGAACAAAAGAAATCGAACAGGACAGGCTCATCACTGATTTTATGGGCAATAGTTTCTTGCCACAGGAATGACATTTTAGTCTCTGGTTTCTTTGCATTACTGAAGGTACTCATGCTCTCTTCTGGTCCCATGCTTCTTAAATCCTTCATCAGCGTTTCATCCGGCAACGAAGGTTTTGAGTACGAGGGATATGTGTTGGCATTTGGATTGTTTCTCGCAAAATGCTTAGAGTCCTTGTCCCAAAGGCAATGGTACTTTCGATCAAGAAGGTTAGGACTAAATTTGAGGTCTTTGCTATCAGCAGCCATATTTAGCAAGCAACTAAAGCTATCAAATTCGGCGAAATTAGTCCATTCTTCTGGCGAGATTATGAACTATGTTACTGTAGATGCTTATAGAATCGGCGAGTTCCCCTTCTGGTTTCATCAAACTTGGACGACAAGCTTCCAACTTTGCATCGCGCTGATAATTCTTTACAATTCTGTTGGCCTCGCAACAATTTCTGCAATGATTGTAATAATTATCACCGTTGCTTGCAATGCTCCGCTAGCAAAATTGCAGCATCGGTTTCAATCAAAGCTCATGGAAGCTCAAGATGAGAGGCTGAAGGCCATGTCCGAGGCTTTAATTTACATGAAAATTTTGAAACTTTATGCTTGGGAAACACACTTCAAGAAAATTATAGAAGGGCTTAGGGAAGAGGAGCTTCGGTGGATATCTGCTTATCAGCTGAGGAGAGCTTACAATAGTTGCTTGTTTTGGGTGTCGCCTATACTTGTTTCGGCTGCTACATTCTCAGCTTGTTATTTTCTTGGTATTCCTCTTGATGCTGGAAATGTGTTTACCTTTGTGGCGACTTTGAGGCTTGTTCAGGATCCAGTTAGGCAGATTCCGGAGGTTCTTGGGGTGGTGATTCAAGCGAAGGTTGCTTTTGGTCGAATTGTTAATTTTTTGGATGCCCCAGAGTTGCAGAAAGTGCAAGGTAGAAGTAAGTATTGCACATTGAGCAAGGACCCAATTGTGATAAAATCGGCCAGTTTCTCTTGGGATGAGGAGCATATATTGAAGCCGACATTAAGAGATATAAACTTAGTGGTTCGGAATGGGGAGAAGGTAGCAGTTTGTGGTGAGGTTGGTTCAGGAAAATCTTCACTTCTAGCAGCAATTCTTGGTGAAATTCCAAAGATTGATGGCACGGTAATCATATGTAGTTCCTCATCTCAGTGAATTCTTCTTGTGCATCTATATTTTAGTTGTTTGATATTTTGATTTTTATGTTTTCTATCCCAGTTGAGTAGTTGTTTTAATTGAAACTTGCAAAAGAATTAATTGCGTATAGACCCCACTGAGTGAATTTTTTTGTTGTTGAATCTTTCACCCCCATAAGGTTTGTTCATTAAAAAAAATTAAATTTCTCTTTCTCTGAGGGTAAAAAGCATATCAGCAATTAGCCCTTTGTAAAATAATGTGTTTACAATATAATTTTAATTTTCAAGAGAGCCTACCTACTGAGATATACCAGTGTATGTTTTAAGGTCCTCCAAAAATCAAAGCCTTTTGGCAACCTGAGATCTGACAAAGACTAATTTATATGTGTAAACATTGATAACATAACAGCTATCTCTTGAATTGACAGGTACATGTTTGTGGAAGAATTGCGTATGTTCCTCAAAATGCATGGATCCAAACTGGAACAATGCAAGACAATATTCTGTTTGGATCTCCTTGGAATAACCAAAGATACCAGCAAACACTGGAGAAGTGTTCTTTAGTTAAGGACATCGAGATGTTACCTTTTGGAGATCTCACCGAGATTGGGGAAAGAGGTGTCAATCTTAGCGGTGGTCAGAAGCAGCGTCTTCAGCTCGCTCGCGCCTTGTATCAGGATGCAGATATCTATCTCCTTGATGATCCTTTTAGTGCTGTCGACGCCCACACTTCTTCTAGCATATTTAATGTAATAGTTTATTTCTTATCTCATTATCGTTTATTTTACATAATTATGAATATCATGCTTCCTTTCATTTTGTAGGAATATGTCATGGGAGCTTTGTCAGACAAAACAGTCCTATTGGTGACTCATCAAGTGGACTTCCTTCCGGCATTCAATTCCATATTGGTTAGTTGTCATATCGTGATTCTCCTTCATCTGTGTACCGCGCAAGTTGATGATTCATATTCAGATTAATAACCATTAAGCTGATAAAAATCGATTTCCTTTTCTGAGAAAACTAAGTTAACGTGTAGAGAATTACATTGCAAAAATTTAAGCTATATTTCCTTCCCATGTTTTAGAAAATGAGGAAATAGATACCCTGCTTTCTATTAAAAGATTTTAAGAAAACATCTCTAGAGAAGTACTATGTAAGTTACGAGTCAAAAGCATAACAAAATTAATGATAACTGTACTACGGTTTTCATCCTACTTTGGTACTACATAGACAAAAGAGTGGGGTCATGGTGACTCACCAATTTCTTATTATAAATTTTAAGCTACGACACCATACATTTATTAGATCATACATTTATTAGTGGTAGTAAAATTGTAGTATAGTTAGTGTTTTCCTTTTTTTAGGAATGAGAAAAAGGAAAAAAAGGAAAATGCAAACTATAATACCATTATTTTCCTATAGATAAAGTGTTCAATAAAAGTACATGATGTACCCCAATTACAAGATTAAGCCTGACAAACATATGAAAGGACCTCTTCACAGAAATTATTCACAAAAAGTATTGGGGGGCCTTGGGAAATTTA